AAGCAGTCAATTTGTCTTATATTGCTAGCAAATCAAGGTGTGAATTAAAAGCAATAATCTTTTGTTGGGAAATCCCCGTTAAAAAATGGATACATTGAATTTTTTGAAAATGCTACAAGCCGATCTCTTTTAATTAAAATTATTGTAGCCAGATGATCAGCGGTCGGTCAGCACAGCTCGGAACATCCCCATCTTTTGTGTAGAACAGCCAGTAGAACATGTGACCTCCGGGCCTGACCTCGATGTGACCCCAGTCCTGTCATCCCGGTCCATATCCACGACGCCCTAAAGGAGTTATTTACCTTGCAGGGTATCACGATTGAATGATTGCCATAAAGCACATACCATCGGACCTCCATGTGAAACTGGCCATCAAGAAGACGATGTAGCTCAGAGCTCTGCTCATCGTGAACTGAAATCGTTCATCTCAACTTTTGGCCACAGTTGGCCAAAGTTTGGCCACAGTTTGACCAAGTTATTACAAAATTATCGCGTTTCGATAATTGCACTAACACGGTTTCTGTGAATATTTCGATTGTGTAATGGGCTTTTTATACCCGATACTCAAAATGAGTATTGGGGTATATTAGATTTGTGGTGAAAATGGATGTGTGTAACGTCCAGAAGGAATCGTTTCCGACCCCATAAAGTATATATATTCTTGATCAGCATCAATAGCCGAGTCGATTGAGCCCTGTCTGTCCGTCCGTCTATCCGTCCGTACGTCTGTCCGTCCGCATCAGCGCCTAGTGCTCAAAGACTATAAGAGCTTTAGCAACGACATTTTATATCCGGACTTCTGTGATATGTCACTGTTACAAGAATACTTCAAAACTTCACCCCGCCCACTTCCGCCCCCACAAAGGGCGAAAATCCGTGGCATCCAATTTCAAAGATACGGAGAACAGAAAACGCAGACCAATCTCAACCAGATCGTATAATTATTATAGCCAGAACCAAGAAAACAATTTCATTCTCTCTCCCTCTGTCTCTCTCTAACACACACGTACCATAGCCGGCTTTGCTTAGCGTAAAACACTAGCGCCTAGATCTCAGAGACTATAAGAGCTAGTCCAACCAGACTTTTTATCCACATTCCTATGATATCGAACCTGCACAAGTGTATTTCAAAACTTCGCCCTAACGCCTTCCGCCCCCGAAGGGGCACATATGTACCAGATTGCCGAATCTTGCCGAATCCGAATCAGATCGGGTTACTATTATAGCCAGAAGTAGCAAATGAATATGCAGTGGCTACGCAGCGTCCGTCGACACGTTCTGACTGTTTTTCTGTCTCTCTCGCACGCACTCTTTGTCGTTTAATGTAAAGTTGCGGTCGCAGCAGCAACTCACAACGTTCCCCTCATTATCTTTGGAATCCTACGAGTATCGTCTCGTGATTCACTTCACTCACCAGTATGGTTTTTTTTTTTTTTAGATTTCGAAGCATAATGACAGGCAAGCCCGCCTTCAGTTGCAAATTGTGCGGTGGTAAGCCATCCAAGGAGTTTAAAAATGAAGGTGGATAATTGGTGCTTCGTCCTCGTTTGTTACACAGTCAGCAGATTTGAATGAATGGAGAACGATTTGATTCAGAACTATAAAGCACAAGTCAATCACAGATGGTGATTTTGGAGGCTACCAACACTTTTGCCATTGCAGAGAATCTTGCAATGTGACATATCGGTTGTTCAGTAGTTTGAAGATTTAATGGCAATTTTAACGCTAAATGAGCCATATGGCTGATGATGGATATTGTGGAAATTGATCGGAAAATTTCTCTCCTGCATCACGCTCGTTCCCGCTTTACTCTCTCCCAGTGTGGCGTTTCATCTCCAGCATGTCATCAAGGAAAAATATAAAAATATCATTTTCTTTTGAAACCTTTCAGTTTTTTTGTTATGATCAAAAATAGTTCCGTAACCCATGGACCGCTTTCACCACCCTCGGATTACAGATAGATCTCCTACCTACATACATGCAGCCCTTTCTGTTTCTTACAAAAACTCAATAAATTCTTGTTGGTTGGTGGCAAGGGTCGACGGGAGTGAGCAGAACGGGTTGGGAGTTGTTGCAAAAATTTCTGAACAAATTGAAAATTCCAAAAATCGCTGAAGCATGCGAGTAGAAAATGATAGAATCTACAATGAAATGCACAAAAAGCGAGAGACGGAGGACTGCATCTCACGCAAACACACACACGCACTCGGTCGTATCCGTAACTCCTTCTGACATCCACTGCACAAAGGTCACAGGGGAAGTGCAGTGGCTGGGCCAGTGGGTGAGTGACACATTTGGCGTGGCTTTGGCATCAAAGTCAAAAGCAACATTTGCGGCGAAGCGGGACGCAGACGCCTCGAAAAGAAAAAGAGAGAGGGTGAGAAAGAGAGCGCCGAACAAAAGTCAGTTGGGAAAATATTTTGTCATGTCATCAGCGGCATCAGCAACTGAAAACTGGCAACTGTTGCAACGGCCAGCCAAGAACAACCGCCCGTCCTCAATGGCAGCCGCCACTGTCTCCGTCTGTGTCTCTGTCTCCTCCAAATGTGGTTACAATAATTTATGCACTTGTAATGACAGACAACAAAGTGTTCCAGAAGCCAGGAGTCGTCATCGAAACAAGACCGAAAAAGGAAAGCGAGATATACAGCCTAGTCATCCGAAGATACCGAATCATACAATACCCTTTCAAATACAGGATATCCCTTAAGTACCCACACATAGGTTCTAAACAGAGGCAGAGTTTGTCTCACAGCCAAATGATTATAAATATTTGATAAATAATAAATATTTGTGTATCTTGTAACAATTCTTCTAGCCTAAAAAGTCGATGCGCTAATTGTGGTATTATTACGAGATTTCGGCAGGGGATTTAATATTTCTTATCTTAGTTTTACTGTCTTTTACACCTTTCAATATTTTATTGATTTCAATTTAAACTGTTCTATTGCAGACAAGCTGTACTGTTGTAGAGTGTCAGGGTTGGAAAGTGAGTGTAATATAATTTTTGAACTGCCGATTGTTTTCTATCGATATCGGAATTGACGCAATCACGCAGAATAGGCGATACGACTGGAAGGCGCGTCATTATTTCGTCATATCAATAGCTGATTTGTGTGTTTAATGACTAGAAAACCAACCAAATTCTGGAAATCACAAAATTAGTCAAAACGACACGAAAACGGACGAACAAAAATTTAGAGTTTGTGGGAGGTTCTCCCACAGAAATGTTTTAGTGCGAAAATATGATTTTTGGTTTGCTGCTTTTTGCTGTTATTGTCATTGATAATCCGAAATATAAAAAAATGTGCTGTAAAGTGCGAAAATGCTCGAATATTTCGCATAGTTGCACCTGCGTTCGCAAAGGACGTAACTTTTTGCCACAAAAAATAATGTGCATCTTCGGCAAGACGTATGACGCAGCCTTAGTGTAAACAGCATAAAGTAGGCTATGACAAGACTGTGTTAATGTATTTGCTATCTAAAAAGGATTTCACTTCATAAGGTTTTCTTTACGTCTCACAAAGTTCAGAAAGTCTGGAAGAAAAGGAATTTTCTGCAATCTGAGATGAAACAATTTAAGGTGAGCGATACTTCTCTCTCTAATGAAAATGTTTTTAAGCCTTTTGCAATCTCCAGATCATGCCTTTTCAACGCAGCTATCGCATAAGGGCCAAGCGTGCTGCTGTCCGAGCCGCTGTCCGTGCCGCTGCTGTAGGGCGCGTTGCTCAAGCAGTTCGTCCACCAGTACAGGACGGGACTACCGAGTGGATTATGCTAAAAATTAACCAGTCTATGGCGCAGAGCAATGTTAAATCGTCTGAGCCGCAGCCAGATAATTGTGAACAAAGCCTGAACTAGCCGATGCTAGTCATGAATAAAAATAAACCTTTTTAAAACGAACAATTGGTACAATCAGTGCGTTCAAACATCTGGTCACAATGTCAATGCCGTCTGGAAGGGTATATTACGCACAGAGACAGACTGGTGAAGAGGGAGTGAGAGACCCGTGTCCCTTAGCTGAAAGCTCCGTGCCTGTCAGTTGAGGCGACTGACGTGCAATAAAATGAGTGTCATGTGTGTGTCGTCACTTCGAGGGTCCTTTCCTCAATCCAGTCCATCCCAGCCCAGCCCCATTCCGTTGATGTGTTGCCCTTTCCGGGATGTTCGGCTCTGGCTCCGGCTGCACTTCAAAATTAATTTAAAATTTATAGTTGGCGCTATTGCGTTAAACGATGCTGCGGCTACCGACGTGTCATGGAGCAAAGGGAGGGCCGAAGGTGGGAAAATGGGAAGCAAGGCCGTTTGCTGGATACATCTATCACGGCGTTGAGTGATTTGCGAGTGTCAAAGGAGTCGGGAAGAGTCGAGTTGGGTTTCAGTCATCGCGGCCTTCCTTTCGATTTATGTTAATAGGTCCGGCAGGCGGACACCACAAAGCGATGCGGCTTAAGTACTTAACCCACTACAACCGACAGCGCACAATGGTCGATCTGTTTGAGTGGAAATCCAAGTTGTAACGCTATTGGGGCCTCATGGGGGAGCGTGTCTGATGCTGCAGAAGTAATAATAATGATAATAGCGATCAAAAATACCGTTGTAACATGGTGATCTAACAAAAGTCACGAGGATTTTTATTTAGTAACGGTGGAGATTCGGAGGAAAATCTGGGGATTGAAGAGGGGAAAATAAAATATACCTGCATGTGTAAGATGGATAGTCTGAACATTGACATTTTTGGTGGTTTCTACCACGGCTTCTAGAGTTTTTCACAGAAAAGTAAAAACAGTGGGTACTTCATTCTCAATGAATGACCATTCAACAGCGATGTCTCTCTTTGAATGATTATTTCAAAAACTAAATCCCTGAAGTTCCAAGACCAGTATTATTTTACAGATTTCCATTTTCGATGCGATTGTAGTTGGTCATGGCATACGGCTCACAAGCATCGTTTTTCCAAAATTTAAAAAAACTATCAACAAAACCAGATCCGGAGTTAAGGGGTGCGTATTTTCACAATGACGGAAGCAACGAGCAAGCGAATGTACGATGTGAGCGACCCAAGTCCCCAAGTGCTGCATGCCACCCAATTAGCGCAGAACGGCCCGAAGAGGCAGGTGCTATGTCTTGAGGATATGGACGACTGGGTTCGCTCGCAGGCCTACAAAGATACGATTGCTTACATCAACAACACCAGTATGGCCATACAGGGCAAGAAATTGAGCAGCGAATTCCCAGTGTCGGAGAAGGTTCGTAGACTGTGCGATATTTTCGACGGCCTGGAGATACTCCTCTCCGAGAATACACCCAAGTTTGAAAGCGCTCATTCTTGGCTCACGGCCCAGCAGGGCAATGCTAACGCCTACCGCAACTGGATGCGCCTAATGCATCAGTTCGTTTTCTCGGTCCTTGACGAGGCAGTACAGCCGGAGTGCAAGCACATCAACGAACTGGGACAGTACTTGCGGCGCTCCTTTGGCTGCTCGAGCAGCCTGGAGTTTGGTCCCGGCAACGAGCTAATGTTCTTGTTCTTCCTTTGCGGTCTGTTCAGGGCTGGCATCCTATTCGCTGATGATACGGTAGCCGCGGCCCTGCTGCTCTTCCACCGCTACATCCGGCTGGTGCGCCGCCTGATCCTGACCTACTCGCTGTCGCTAACAAAGGACTCAAGGTTCTCGATGGACGACTACTACGTGATTCCCTATATTTGGGGATCAGCCCAGCTTTCGTTGGATGCGCCGTTCTCCCCGATGGAGAGCGAGATGCAGCTGATAATGGAGGCTCATCGGCAAGACTACATGTTGCTAGAGGTCATCGACCACCTGCGGAAGACTCGAGGGCTCCAGCTGAACCAGGTGGCCTTTCAGCTGTGGTGCATTCTGTCGGTACCAACCTGGCCGGAGGTCTACGGGGCAATCGAGCGCGCCTACGTGTCGAACGTGCTCTCCTCATTCGAAACAGTTGAGAACGCGATTTTTTGTGAACTCATGTCTTTTCAAAGCGTGTCGTCGGTGAGCATGGTGCCGCGTGCTTATCTGGGGAATCGATACTCTGAAGATCGTCGGAGTTCGATGCGTCATCAAGAGCAGGCAGACGACTCCGAGCAGAAGCCAGATACCAATAAGAAATTGGCACCGCCAGTCCACAAGTGTGTGAGCATGCAGCCCAGCTTGTTCTTTAGCTTTTCCGATAAGAAGTCCACTGATGCGGACAGCAATGATGACGAGCACGATCCTTTGTGGATAGTCCGCCGCCGCAATGACCAGGAGGAGGAGTCAGATACGAGTACAACCGTTTTTTTTACGGATGCGATGATTATCAACGATGGTCCAACGTCCTCATCGTCCTCTAGTACGGCCAAATAAGCCAAATAAAATCATTAGCCGACCAAAGGAATTAATATATATTTTTGTTATACGTTACACATGTACATACCTATCTGTTATAATAAATCATATTTTGAAATACATTCGCTGTGCATTCCGTCTGAGCGAGAAATATCGTGTGTAAGATGTTGGGATATTAGAATACCGTCTGTTTGTAGAAGGGTGGCGTATTTCCCAACATTATATTTAAACGGAATAATATTTTATTTTGTTGTATTTCACTTGATTATAATTTAAATGCAACGAGCCGTGTAGATCGTAAGAGTGGAAACAATGTGAAAATCAAATCGTAATTCGATATAAAATGATGTATATAGTATATTGAAGTTTATGTATGGAAGCACGTTTTGTTCAATTCCTCCGCATGGACTAGGTTGTGGCCAAGGTTAAAAAAGTGTTAAATATTTGAAATCCTACTGACAGAATACCTGTTTTATTCTCCATAAGCTTTAGTTGGTGTGGTCTTTTACATTAAACAGATATGAGTATCTATCTACTCGGCAATCAAGTTATTGGTTCTAAGTATTTTTTGATAAAATGTTTGAAATTTATTTATTTATTTGAGACATTATTCAGGCCCCGGCTAGGACCAATGTTCGTCACTTAGCTGAGATGATGCCCCCGTTTATCCCACTATCGCTTAGGTCCCCTCCGACTCTCATTCGTCGTCATCATCTTCTTGGGGCGCTCATAGTCAGCTCGTTTGTCAACACTGTAAGTAGGGTAATTTTCAATGTAAACGCAACGCCTACAGCAGCTGCTTCAAATACCCCGCCCGCCTCCTTTTCGTTGGGTGGGTGTTGTGGGTGTGCGGGCTGGAAACTTTAGTTTGGGCGTAGGCCTTTGGGGCGTGGCCCATTCATTTGCATTGTATGAATGTGTGAGCTTGTGCTGCGAAGGCCACCGCCGTCGTTGTCGTTGTCGCAGTCGCAGTCGCAGTCGCGTACTGCAATTGCATTTGAAATGCATCCCAGCCACACCCTGTCATCCTGGCAGCATGGCTAAGTAGTAGGTTCTCTTGTGAAACTGAGCAACGTTTTTCCAGCACCAGCAAACATATTTCTCCCCCATTCATCCAACCCACTCAATGGCATCCTCTCCTCTGCTAATATGCAAAATTCACTTGGCCCTACAGTCGCCTCGGGCTTACTTCTTTTCGTTTATTTCTTTTCTTTTCTGCTGCTGGTATTTTTGTGTGTTCTGTGCCCCCAAACTTCAAACTAAGCATAAAGTGTTGCCTAATGGGTTTTGAGTGTTTTCGACGACTACAACTACGACAACAGCACCATCCGAGGGATCTGGAGCAGTGGTGTGGCGGTGGCGGTGGCAGGGAAGGGCACAGGATCGGGCCTGCAATGCATGCTATGCATTTTTTTTTGTTTTTCGTTTGCCAAAAGTTGGTCATTAGCGTCGTTTTCTAGCACTGCTGCCGCTTCTGTTGCTGTCGGACAGAAAAACAGAAAAGTAAATAACAATTAAAACAATTTTTGCGAGCAGAGCAGAAGGCCCTTAATGACTTCGAGCCCGCATCTGAGGTCAAGGATAAGCGTTCAGCTGTTCGGCTCTTGTTTTCCGCATTTGTTGAATATTTTTGCACATTTATTGAACAGTGATTTCAGCCATTTGAGATTAATGAAGGAAGGAAGTCGGGGAATAATCTGGGAATTCAATATGCGAATTGGAATATCGATGATGGGACTGAATGCATAATGAACTCGTACAGAGGAAGTGGAATCAATTGACTCACTTCTTTTTATGACGATGTTATTTCTTAATGTGTATTTATGAAACGAATGTATGCTTCAGTAATGATCAGCTATAGCCGTTTTCTATATCCATATATTCTATATTTCGAAGTATTCAGAAAATCAAAGTAATTCTTCACATAACATTCTTGCATTTTTAAGCAAACGTAAGCAGATAAAAGGGCTGGGAACTAATTAATTGGCTAAGGTACACATCAATTCATATTTGTATGTATATATTTATATACATATGTGCAAAAATAAGCAAACAGATAATAACCCGTTTACTTGTTGTTTCTGCCCTTTAAGATCTTAAGGCTTTGTCAGACATGCCTTAAATTCAAAATATAAATTAAATTGTATTTAAAATAGAATTCTCCATTATTTACGAGTCTCCCATTCATGGCATGAATCATGAGATGCGACTCGCCCCCTGCACAATCATAAATTAAACAACCCTATGCCGAATCAAGTCCCACCCTGATCCTATGACCCTCATCGGACGGCGTCTTCCAGACCGAGGCGACCCACAAAATAAACATAAAATTCCACCTTTTGCATCCGATATGCATATAAATCTATTATAATCACTTCGACGCCACAACAAATTATGATTGAGAATGTTCTCCAACCCCAACTCAACGTGAAATAAATCTCCGGAGAGGACAATGACGGAGTAAAAGGAAAATGGAAGGAAAATGCTTATCCCACTGGTTGGGGTTGGGGTTGGGGTTCTGGTTTGGCCCGAAAAAGGAAATGTCAAGCCAAGCAAAAGATCTAAAGGATATGGTAAATCAAGCTAAATAAATCATTTAAATGATTACAGCTTAACTTTTGACGCTTTTAAGCGAAATTAAATGAAGGCCAGCCAGAAGGATCAGTCAGATGAGACAGGGGTTGGGGTTGGAGTTGGGGTTGTCCGAGATAGAGGGATAGGACATATCCTATCATAAAAATTATTTATTTGCTTTGAAGAAGAACGTCGGAAATACAAAAAATGAGAGAAGACAGAAACAGAAACAGAAATGTAACCCAAATCTATGTAAGTGAATCAAGAGAAATCACTTAAGTATATTTTTATGCTGGACATGCTGCCAGGAATTACAAATACAGGGCGGCACGCACGCACGCACAGAAAGAGGCCCACAATCAGAGGCAGAGCCAGAGCCAGAACTAGGACCAGGACTAGGACCAGAAGCAGGCACAGGACATGAGCGAAGGGACATCGACGACACGACGGACGGTCGCTTGGCGGTTTGCGTGGCTGTCATTTGCCCCCGGGGGCTTTCGTGGATATGGAGAGGAGGGGAGAGAGAGAGAGAGAGAGAGAGAGAGAAAGAGAAAGCAGTTGGGCCAGAGAAGGAGAAGTGCCATCAAAAGGACATCAACACGTAGCAAATAAAAGACATGCCACAAGGATGTGCTGCCACAGCTTCAGACACAGCTTCTTCTGATGCTCTTTGGCCATTGCTACATTGCAAAATTATTATGATTTATATGGCCTTTGGGAATGCGCACTAAAACACATACACAAAACCCACCAGAGAGATAGAGAGGGGCGGACAAACAGCGAGTGGCGCACAAAGGACTTGGCCAGGATACGTAGAATAGAGTCGAGTCGAGTCGAGTCAAGCCGAGCCGATTCGAGTCGTCGTCGCAGTGGCCGCAAAACTTTTGCCCGCTGCGACAAAATAGAAAACTTTCTTGGCATAATTCTTTCTATTTTCCGTTTGCCTGTCCTCGCCGCTGCGTATTCCTTCTCTCCGAAATTAGGTTAACACTGACGAATTAAGGACATTAGCGTCATAAAGAAATAAGTAATGAAAGAAGCAGCAAGTTGAGCATTTCTGCTGAGTGCGTATGGCTCCACCAGCAACAGCAACAGGAAAACAGGACCAGCACTTTTCCCCACTCTGCCTCTACCGATTAACTTGCAGGCCACATTTGAAAGCATTTCCACAGAGGCTTTCCTCCGAAAGTAAAAGGATACATGCAGCTGCAGGAGAGTTGAATATATATATCCTGGTATCAAAGACGAAAAACTATTCAAATGGACTTAAAAGCCCCTAAAATCTGTATTCAGTAGAAGTATTCTATAAGATGTACCATATATGTCCAAAAATTTATCGGAATTGTTCCATTGTTCCTCCGCGAATCCCCGCTCTGCCAAGAGCTGCTCACATATTGTGCAGCTAATAAAATATTGATTTATTAAATTATGCACCGACAACGTCGCGGTGTTTCGCTTGTCAATATTTTCCAAATTTGTTACTATCAGGCCCGACCCATGTCGTTTGTTCACATACAGTTGGCCCTCTCATCGTGAAGCCCACACTTGTCCCAGGCAACTTCCCTGCCCCTGTGGCGTAACCATACCCTTTCCCACCACGATATTTTGCTGGCCTTCGCAAAGTGCTTTTTAAAATACCGCCTTGAGCATTTGGTTTGTTTGCACCATTGGCAGCTGTTGGTGGACTGTTCCGGATTCGGGAGTACCCTATATAAACGAGAGGAGTTTAGGAGAGGGCGATGGCGATGGCGAGGGCTTAAGTAACCGCAAAACTTTAAAATTGTTTGGCACCCTTCGAAGCAGTGCGAGCGAGCGGCATGGCAAAGCCTTGTTTGTCCAACCCAATAAGGAGTCTTTGACGTGTAGGGGCTTGCTTTATGAGAATATCCCACCCAGTAACCCTTTACTTACTGCCAGGGCAGAGAGGGCCGGGAGCTGCATGGCTTCAAGTTCGAAGTCTGCTGCTGCTGTCTACTATCCTAGATGTCTCCCTCTCTTTCTCTCTGGCCAACTCCCTCTGTTAACTGTATTTTACACTGTTTATAGATGCTTCTGCTGCTGTACTGCTGTTGTTATTCTACTGCTCTAGCCATTTGCTGACGTCGATTATGTCCTTTTACAGAAAATTTCCTTCGGTTCCCTGGAAACAAGAAAAACTTTCCGATGGAAACTGAGAAAGGCAGCACGAGAAAAGGATTGGGGGGAGACTGGACTTGGTTTTCAACATTGTCTTGCGGTTTGCTGCATGCAAAATGGTTTTATTTTTTGAAAAATGTACTCCAAGAGTTTTTGGTGGCTTTTCTTTTGCATTTTTCGGCAAAAGGTTGAAAGTTTTGAATGGAAATATTTCACAATTGCTCAGTAACGCATTATGGTTGAAATTGAGCTTGAAGAGTGCATTCAATGATATAATCAGGCAAGTAAAGATATTAAAAAGGCGGCAAAAGATTCAACATCATATCAGTAGCCAACAAAGAACACATTGCAGGGGCAAAAGTATGAGTCCGT